TACTCCTTAACAACTTTCACGGCAATTAAAAAAAAAATCAGATGAAACTGCTGAAACTTTTTTCTTATAGCCTTCTTTCTTATAGAAATTCAAATATGTATTTCAGCAAGTATTGTAGAGCTTTTATTGCTTATAATTATTCAGTTCTATTCAAGATTCAAGGCATACTACACATTTGTTGCGGGCACCAGTAAACATCGCACTGATTAATGCAAATGGAATCAACTGATTATGTTTCTGGAGCAGCAACAAAGTTATGTGCACATCTTACAGTGAAACTCAATTTATTGTTTCTTGTTCAGAATATGAAATGGGGCTTTAGTTTCAAAACGGAGTAATCTTTGAAATTAATTAACGTGAACTGGTGAATATTGGAAGTACGTAATTGCTTTGTTAGGTTTATTTCAGGATGTAACATTTCAGCAACAGAAATTATGTATGTACTCGTATTTAGGTATTATTTGATAAGTGGAAGCGGAATTTAATACGGAGATGCGTAACTAATTGAATTAATAATAATTATAACCTAGTAGCAGCCAGAATCATCCATCAGCAACTTGCTCTTCAGTACGGCCTTCTTGAATCTAAGTCGCCATATTACCAGTACCAGCCGGTGCCAGTTTTTGAAAATGGTCATGCATTGCTCTATTGGGATCGGTCTATCATCACAGACAGGACTATTGTCTGTAATAAACCTGATATTGTGGTGGTTGATCGATCCCAACGTCGGGCAGTGCTCGTTGACATCACCATCCCGCATGACGAAAACCTCGTGAAGGCCGAGAAGGAAAAACAAAGCAAATACCTTGACTTGGCCCACGAGGTGACCGCCATGTGGGATGTTGACTCGACGATCATTGTCTCGATAGTTGTCTCGGCAAACGGGCTAATAGCGAAGAGCTTCGACCAACATCTAAAGAAGCTCTCGCTAGATGGTTGGCTCAAGGGTCAGATTCAAAAGGCGGTGATCCTCAGCACGGCACGCATTGTCCGGAGGTTCCTCAGCCTGTGACCCTGACCACCGGTAGCTTGGGCCCTGCTCCGCTACCAGCGGATTAACTATTTTTAAGTTTTTTTTTATAATGTATTTTTTTTTATAATTTACATTGTAAAAAAAAAATAAAAATAAGAAGGAAAATGAATAAAGAGATTATAATAAAATGACAACTAGAAACACGGATAAACATACTTATGCTCACACTTATGCTAGTGTTGAACACATTAATTAATTTTTTCCTAGATTTCAAACCTACAACAGCTGCTGGTACCGTATTGAAACACGCAAACCATTAAAAATAAAGATAGATGTAAGTATATTAAGGCTGAGCTGCACCAACTTCCTACAAACAGGTAACTATAACATTAACCGGTGCTTTTTGTATGGAGTTTGACGTTTGTTAAAGTTAAAGTAAGATGGTGGCGATGGTGCAACCCAGCCTGTATTATATTCCATCTTGAATGAAAGCACGAAACATAATAAGTAGTATAGGTACGATCTTATTCATTCGCGTAATGTGAAAACCGTTTTCCAATACTTACCGTAGGAAGCTTTGAAGCCGTAGAAGTTAATTACACCGTATCAGACTGGCAGTATGTAAATGGTATCGCTTTATAGACACAGCGATCATTAGTGCATGGCAAACAGACGCTAACGAGCCACGGGGACTAGACTAATCTATTTCTAAACCAACCTTTAAAGTTTAGAGTTAGAAATCAATCAAGTCGACGGAATGCAAAAAGAAAAACTCCCCGATTGAATTTCAAATGTAGTTTCGAATCTTCAACTTTGATTCGGTTCGGTTCCAAAGGCTTATAACGGTTTATCTTACTTCTGTAATGGGATATTCCACGATACAAGAACCTTTCTAGAAATAAAGATTTTCTAGGAAACTTTATTCCATTTTTTCCAAGACAAGCTTTGTTACCGAAAGTTAACTCGCGTTCCGCGCTCAAATACTCTGTTTTTTACAAAAGCATAAAACTTTATAACTGTCTCTTTTTTACAATAAATGTACCTACGTAGTTATTCGTAGTCCAATCACAATTGTTTGGAGGTACACGATTCAAGAATGCTGATGTGATGGTGGAGCGAGATTCCGTGTTTGCCAGGACAATATAAATTCTCTGCCGTTGTCACAGGAGCAATGAAAGCCAGGGTTTTTGGCACACAAGTCCAGCGCACAGGGTTGCCAGTACCATGATCGGAGAATAGTTAATTAATAGTTTTGTCAAAAATACTTTCAGTTCTTTCATTCTGTTTTTTTATGCCAAATGACGTCCACTGCTAGACATATACCCCCCCAAGGATTTTGCCTGAATCGCCACGCTTGGCATCTTTCTGTTTATTAAACTGTAGATGTCTCAGGTTTGTGGCAAAAAACAATAAATTGGTCCAAGCAAGTTCTTCAAAAATACGTCTTCTATTTTTGTCTTTAATTAATGTAAAGAGAGAGACTAAAATCTTAATTAAATTAGGTCCATTTTAGTACGATTAAGGCTTTAAGGCTTTTGGTATTCTAACGAGTACGACCTTAGGTATATTAGTTAATTCAGCCAATCACAAAAGTTGAAACTCGCAACAGCTTTTCGACCATCTTTCGACATAAACACTGACACATTTTGCATTTTGTCTAGACGGGCAGGATCGAGTCCATGCTATTGAGTTTGAGTCTAGTTTTGATCAAATCAAGAGTAGGTAACGTTCTTAAAAGGTTAGAAGACAATCTAAGGCCAGCTCCATCTTTTCAGTAGGCAGCCCTGCTAGCATACAGGCGAACAATGATGCGCCACACAATGGCTATGCTATGAGTTAAAGTTCACGCGTCGCCCAAGATAATACTCGGCGGATTTCCACTAATTTAATTTGATATTATTGTATACTAGCGGTAGCCCGCGACTTCGTACGCGTGGATCCCGTTTTACCCCCTTAGGGGTTAATTTTTGCAAAATCCCGTCTTAGTGAGCACCTACTAAAAGGAACCCCCATGCAAAATTTGAGACTCCTAGCACTTGTAGTTTTTGATGAGTGAGTGAGTCAGTCAGTGACCTTTCGCTTTTATAGATTAAGAAAGATTCGTCCCTCCCTCAGGTACCATTTAGTATTATGCGTTAGGTACAATAAAAAACATGAACTTAAAAATAGATTGCTACGAGTAAATTATGTATATGGAAAATCTGGTACTGAAACGAAAATATAAATCTAACTTAAGATGACATATCAAAATATAGACCAAAGTTTATTTATGTGACATATCACTTAGGTACCGTGTATAAACTAGTCTTTTCCATCATGTGGGAGTGGGTTGTTATAATTTTGGCCACAATTTTGATGTCAGATTTTACGAGCTGTCATTGACGTTTTCTATAGCTAAATCGGGACCTAACGGCTTATGGTGTCCTTCGTCTATTATAAACTTATCAATTATAGGAATAATAAACTGACCATCTGGCAGTTACCAAAAATAGATAAAACATTATGAATCGGTAGCATGCATAATTAATGAGAGGGCGATACAAAGTAAGCAAGCCTCATACAGGTAAATATTAGGCTTTGAACATCATCTCGTTGTATTCATGAATATTTATAAATGTATCTACATGAGCTAACATAAATAATGTTAATGCCTCTGTTTCAGCAATAAATAATACATAAATTATTGTATTAAAACGTGTATAGAAGATAGGTACATACAAACAACATATTATTGGACGCAACGCATTTTAACTGACTATTAGGGCTTGTACAGAAATTGCGAATTGGCGCGATGTGAATTCGCAACGCAAAAAACTGGAACACGAATTGCTATCGGGAGTTCGTAGATTTTTACGATGCGACAACACGCATCGCAATTTTGTGTACAAGCCTTTAAATGTTGAAAATGCAATATAGAGTCTTACACTGAATTGGTATAACAATCTCAGCTCCATTGCTATCTTACTCGCGCTTCAAGTTTACTTAGTCTGTCTGTAATATCCAACTAAGCACACTTGTTATTATATTTTCTTAACGTTGCCACCTCCAAGTAAACGATGTTAGTGGGGTAGCCGGTATAGGGTGTAATCTAGGTCTTATTTAACGGATAGTCCCTGAGGGATTACCCAACTCTCGCATGTGGGTAGAAGTTTAGAACTTCGTAGAGATGAAGCGACTTTGAACATTGTTGCGTAAAGTTAGGATGTGGAGGAAACGGATTAATCTTTGGAACCTCGTGGCAGTTATGTACTTATACATCGTAGATGTTACTCTACTTACTTTCCCAATTTACAATGAAAATATGCTTTTAATATCAAAGTAAATGTCAAAATCGTATTTTTGAACGCTACTACTGCCCTTTTACGATGGAAGTTTTTTTAAATGACCACTTTCATTAAAACGATAATTCTAACGGTTATTGTGGATAACGATCTTAGTCATTTAATGTACATAGATACTTACATGGAAATAACTCCTACGCAAACGGTTAAATTTATGTGTACATAAGTAAGGTGATGGTACAAACTGGGAATACAAATATTTATGTATGATGGTGTGGTTTATCGGTTGGTTACATATTACATATGAATGTACATAACGAGTATAAATATGCGTACTTACTTAACGTAAACATTTATTCATTCATTGATAATATATGTTCAGGGTTTATTTATGTTTATCTTTGAATTACTAATAACTAAGCAGTTGTCACAAGTATTACATTGTTTGCTGTAGTGAATACCTTTATCCTTCATCCAACAACCACCGTTTTATCTTATTGTTGGTGACTCTTCCCTCTTTTTTGCAGTACGGTATTTATGTTTAGAACTTACCTGGACATGTGGTCTGGAACCAGAGTCATTTCATCATAATCAAATCATTAAGAAGGTAATTTTGCCTAAACTTCCCACTCTGGTCAAATGGGTTGGAATTGGGAGGTAGAGTTAATTGTACCACTTTTACCATAGTATAATAATAAGTACTTGTACAGAGACTTACAGCGTAATAATAAAATGTGTTTTTACAGTATCCTGTTCGCGGATATCGTGGGGTTCACGGTGCTCGCTTCGCAGTGCAGTGCTCAGGAGTTGGTGCGGCTGCTGAACGAACTCTTCGGCCGATTCGACCAGCTCGCCAACGTAAGATGTTACGCTATTTTTATCTTAACTGCATTGTAATAAAGATATTACGCTATTTTTATTTTATTATTGTAGAACTGCCTGAAATTGTCGATGAAAATAATCACTCAACCACTCTTCCTTCAACGCACGTCCAGGCAAGTGTCAAGGCCATAATATTAACTACTCTACTGACATACTCTGTGTGTAATTGCGATAAAGTAATACTGCGCCCTTTATTACTTCTACTTATCTCTTTACACTGTATTAATTTTGGAAGTTTATACAATTATTCGTCAAAAATTGTATTTGTATATTAACGTGCTACTTACCCAATGTCCTCAAGAAAACTTGTGCAGGAAAATTGTTTTAAACTGAAGCGTATACCTATACATTTGATTCTAATCTTAATCGAGTTATACAAGAACAGATTGTTGTTTAGATTGCCTCTAAATCCGTCTTAAACCAAAGAGAAATCCAAAGCTCGGACACGAACAAATCGAATCAGGCTTTGTCGTAATCCCGAGCAAACGTCGATACAACGCTGTAATCTCCCAAGACATTAGTTAGAACAATAGCGGCTGTATTCGCGACTGTTCTTACAAATAGGTTGAGTTTCCTCTTCAATTTCGTTCCCGTAAGTGCACTCCTGGGCCCGCTTAGAATTGCAGCCGCAAAGTATATTTATATCGTTCCTTTGTTGCGAGAAGTGTTTCTATTCTTTGTTATCTACGGGTTCAAACCTACCTCTAACTTAAGAAATATGTATTTATGTTTGGATTGGCTCCCCATCCTAGTCCAGCAGTGGACGTCTTTTGGTTGAAACGTCAAAATCATAGCATGTTTTGCGAGAGCTGTTTGTGATTAATACGGGTTCAAACCTACCTCTAACTGAATAAATATGTATTAATGTTAGGAGGATTGGCTCCACATCTTTGTCCAGCAGTGGACGTCTTTTGGTTTATCATCATCATCATCATTTCAGCCATTGGACGTCCACTGCTGAACATAGGCCTCCCCCAATGTTTTCCATATTGATCTATTGGTAGCGGCCTGCGTCCAGCGCCTTCATGCTACCTTTATGATGTCGTCGGTCCACCTTGTTGCTGGACGTCCCACGCTTGCTGCCCCGGCCGTCACTTCTGCGTACTATGTACCCTGCCCATTGCCACTTCAGCTTGCTACCGTCCCTCTTTTGGTTAAAACGACAAAGTCATAGCTTTTCGAGAGCTGTTTGTGTTTCCATTATTGCTGATTGCACAGTCCCATTTTTGTACATGAAAACCTGCTAATATTTTTGCTTTTATATGAATGGTGATGAGGTATCATTGATGACTGATGATATTTAATTTTGTCCAGGACAACCACTGCCTCCGCATCAAGATCCTGGGCGACTGTTACTACTGCGTGTCCGGGCTCCCCGAGCCGCGATCCGACCACGCGCGCTGCACCGTCGAGATGGGGCTCGACATGATCGACGCCATCGCGTGAGTACACTAACGGGACTATTTATTTATTTATGTAAACTTAAATCACTACATAGTATAAAACAAAGTCGCTTTCCGCTGTCTGTCCCTGTGTAAGCTTAGATCTTTAAACGGATAACGAACAACGGATTTTGATGCGGTTTTTTTTAATAGATAGAGTGATTCAAGAGGAAGGTATACATATATGTATACTTAGCACCCGTGCGAAGCCGGGGGGATCGCTAGAGCCAAATTTTGAACATAAGGTGAACTTAATGCTTAGTGCATTCTCGACCAGTTTACCTTCAGGTTAAGCAGAAAAAAATCGTTCCCACCGCTGCAACTCTGTAGTCAGGGTCTACAGCTTGACCGCCAAAAAAAACCCAACCCGTGGTCAAGTTTGTCCCGGGGGAAAGTTAACTGTCATTGGACAAGCAACGAAATTAATCAGAAGAACATAGGAGAGTTCGAAGTTAAGGTTAAGGAAAAGGTATTGCGGGACTGATTCCCACCTCGATCCCTACCTTGTTTCCGGGAACAACAGTTAGACGGCCAGCAAAAACTCAACCAGTGAAGGCCAAGTTTGCCCTAGGTTAAACTGCCATGTGTTTTAAATGTCACCGTTGTCGAATAGAAGGAGTTGTATAGTATCTATACGATACGATACCAATAGAACCCGATAGTCTTGTAAAAGGATAACATACCCTTTACAAAATCGTTTCTGAAACTCGCGAACCGTTTCTTGGAGGTAAATATAGGAGCATTCCTTTTCATCGTATTACAGCTTCTACGTTCTGTTGTTGATAAAAATCTTCTAAAATAAACCTCAATGACCTTTGCTGTTCCTTTACTTTCAATTCTAATTATTATTTTATTAAATAGGTACCTATTATAAGATACTTAGTAGATATACATTATGTATGTCGGAATTTATTGCCAATTTTAAGCTCAAGCTTAAGTTTCAAGAATTTATCGATAGGATAGGATCCCCAAACTTTGGGGTTCGACCTTGACAATGATAATAATGATTATTTGGAATTACGTTACTTACAAAATCTCAATAAATTAATAATTTAAATGTCTGTTCAATGAAATATTTCCTGCAACGATAAAAAGCATTATTATGTTTATCATCAATCGTTAAAAATCTGTCAAGCGCAAACATAATTAACAAAGTAAACAATTGTTTGAATTTTTAACCAAAAATTTACCGACCTAAGTTTTTAGAGGGAAGAAAGGTTCTTAAAAAAATTATATTTAAAGCAATTGTGTTTCGCAGAATTCCGTATAAAAGCTCAAACTTAGGACTTTCATCGCGACTGAATAATTTACTTCTTTCAACTTTTCTTAAGCGGCACCGCACCTTGACAACTCTATTAATATACGAATCTCGACAATTTGTTACTTAAAGTTAAATTTAATGTAACAACGGAAGCGGGAGCTTTGAGAGACGTTAATTGAATGTTTTACCCAATTTTCAGCGGTTACAATAAATCCTTTAATTTTGTTCTATACAATATCTTGTGGAGATGGTATAACCTGTACAACCTTATTATACCGCCCGCTGGATTTAATTGGATTTCCTTAGATAGTAACTGAAATACGGAAGAATTATTTCACCAGGCCTTTTGGCCACCGTTACACTGTATAGTGTATTTTTCGAACAAATATAGACGACATGTTTTCATTATTTACTATTTATGTATCAAGGCAAGAACTAGAAAGTACAAAAAATGTTCTCTAAAGTTTTCAATTGCCAAGGGATTCAATTTAAAACAGTTTTACATAAAACACGTTCCTAAACTATTTGTATAGCGTGTGAATAAAAAAACCTTTTTGCTCACGAGCTTCCGCGGAGATGAATTTTTCCACATCAATATTCAAATTGTTTCCACTTTCCTTGTCGTTTCACTGTGAATTTATTTATGTTTTTACGCGCTATAATCCATAAATAATAACAGGGTCCCGGCACGTGTGGAGCGGCGAGCGCGCGCAGCCGAGCGTGCCGCGATACGTGCTTATCGCCATATTGGCTCATCAAAGGAGCAAGGCTAAAATTAAATACCCTCTTTGTGATCATACCTCACAGTCACATCATTATCTACTACTGGAACCACTATAACACTGATAAAAACCCACGCTATTCGATGTCTTTGTCCCGACGCCCGTGGTAGCGCCGTTTGACTTTCATAGCTTGTTAAAACCCAAATTGAATTTGCAAATCAATTTTCCTTCGTCTTCGCCGGCGTCTAGGGATATTTACGTGCGTTTCAGAAATAGCATATCCGCTGATTTATAGCTGGAAATCGTAACTGTCAATGACTATGCTAACATTGTTTGCTGAAGAGTTTTTAACGATGGTGCTAATTTTATATGGCAGAGGATGGAAGTGGTTGTAAATCACGGTGTCAGTTTAATACACGTTTAATTTTATTGACACTTCACTTTGATTACAGTAACTGTTTTTACAGTGTTGTACAGGAAGACGATATTTGTATAAATGATGCAAGTTTAAAACAATATTGACAACCCTATGCACCGTCTTGTGTGGCTCACCCTCTGATAGATGCAAGGTCACTAGGTCCTTAGACGGAATGTAGTGTGGCAACCTTATCTGACCAAGACCAAGGGCTGGGTGGCCGGGTGACAAGTTTTTACTCCTCTAAATTACCGTTATTTTCTCATTCTCATTATACGACGCAAAAATTAGCGCCAGACCGTGAAACAAATGATATTTTTTCCTCATTCCCAAATTAAGAATCGCAATTTCTTTGTCTGGAATACTATTAAATGATTGTTTTATATCGCTCGTGAAGGTCGTTTTATAATTGCCGTTTAATGGTATTGTTTACATGTCCAAAAACCATAAATCTACCGAGTCATGGCCCCAAGTCGTACTAAATTTTAATAACTTTTACTAATCTATAATTAATCAGCGATACGTACCTATTATTATCACAAGCTATCCCAAAGGCATACTTAGGGCGCACCGTAACTAAGTAATACGTTTTTCGTTGGGAATCGTTTCAATTACACATAATTACATAAACACATGTTGCTGGCAGTTTCATTCACCAGCAATCCTCTTTGATACTTATTTTTATTTTTTCTCTTTTGTCTTTTTTAAGTTTTTATGTCATTATCATTTATGGTTTGTACGAGTAGGTTGGCACAAAAAGTCGTTTTTCCTTTTTCTTCAAAAGCATATAATTTACCACTACAGTATCAGAATACAGCCCGCAATGGGTACTAAATAACAACAAGTTCGTAAAGTTTTCCATGATTAAAATGAAGATAAGCTCGGTTCAGAAAATAACGAGATAGTTGTATAACGGCGTTGTAAGAGGAGTCGGGACAACCAACACCGGCCGCCGACCGCAGGCGCCCCGAGCTGAGTTGAGGTTGCAAGCGATCGGGTTGATTCAATTTCGCGATAATCAGGTTAATATCGTATTAAAATGTAGATAATTTGATGTCATCTCGATAAGTGTTAAATCAGATTTAGTAACCAGTGAGGGTTTATTCCGTTTATGGACAATGTATGGAAAACGAACACTGTTCTTTCCTTAGTCGCCACTTCAAGAATGTATAACATCTTTCGTTAGTTGTATAAGTTGCCATTAGGTTGGTCTACTAGACTGATATAAATTTAGATAAATACATAGGTAATTAAAAGTTATTTAGTATCGCCTATCAACAATAATTAACAACACTAAATTAAGGCTGAGTTGCACCACCAAACTTTGACCGTAACTTTCGATAACCGGCGTATTTTGTATGAAGTTTGACAGATTTTTGACGTCTATACTTAACAGTCAAAGTAAGATGTTGCAACCCAGCCTATAAAGAGTATGCCCTTAGTTCGTTTACACGGTTCTGATGCTTTCCCATTAGCACGAGTTTAAAACGACTAACAATTAAAATGCGATCCATAATAAATTGATGCTTTAATTTGGGCATTCAGATATTTCAGAAAATATCAAAGTCAAGTCAAATTAGCTATTATGCGCATTGACTTAGAGCACATTTAGTTCAATACCTATTTTGGGTTACCAATCATGAGATTATAACGAGCTTTAACTAAGATAACAAGCACGACCGTTTTTGCTCAATTTACCGTAAAGTTTTGATTCGATCTAGTTAGGTACAACTTAATTTTAAAGCGATTAGCGATGGGCCAATGTTGTCTTTGGTAAAAAGCAAACTGAAAACTTTTCCTATTTTCCAAACCCATTTAAACATGCGAACTCGTGGTGTGAAGAGTTAATGTATGCTGTCGAATCGCTCTTGACGTAGGTTCTTTTTGTATGCGTTTTTAATGTATTGGTTTAGGTATCCGAAAAAAATGCTATGCTGCTTAACTGCTCATTGAAATATGATTGTTGCCAACTTATTAAAAATTCAGGGATGTAATGAAGGTTTGACATTCGATTTGTAAACGACGTAAGTACACACCATAATTATGTTAGTTACTATTTTTAAGTGTATTATCAAGTTTGAGCAACACTGAAAACCTTTTACTGCCCGAAAAATTGCGTTCATTTGGTCGTTTTTCCATTAAAAAAAAATCATAGAGGCGTTTTTCACATCTCTTTTCTATACCTAAACTTCTACTAAAGCTACGGTATGAGTATAGATTACTACTTTCTCCCGTTATGCTTATATCGTAGGCGCAATGAAAGAAAAATGCTTTCCATAATCAATAAATTTTCTAAAACAAGATGAAACTTAAAAGCACTATGCATGAACATGAATTTTATTGAAATAAAATGATAATGTAATCGCTACGGGAAAATGACAAGACACTAAAACGTGTTATTTATTTCCCGGCACCACTCGACTTCAATTTATCTTGGAAAGGCGTCGGGATATGACTGCGCTGTAATATTCTCGGAAAGCTTTTCTCGTCTCCTTTGTAATTTTACAATAATATACATCTTGAAATAGGTACGTAATAAATTTAGGGACGACGGTAGTAACTAAAGATGCCACATAATAATTAACGAACTGCGTCAAAGAAT